GGGAGGCATATTACCCTTTTACTATATAGAATAGAGGCCTGGTGCATGGGTGGGGGCCGGCTGGTTTGCCCTGAAGGGTGTCCTGGATCAGGGTGGGGTTCCCCAGTGGGGTGCCTGGCCAGGCTGGCTGAGGGGCTGAGGGCCGTTTTCAGGTTGGCCAGTGACTGAAATGATGGATCTGCATCATTAGTTTAGATTTCACAACCGCTCCTTTTTTTCTTTTTTTTTTGTCTATTCTGGGCCAGCTTTAGCTCTGAGGCCTCGCTGCTGAAAACATCGATACAATGTTGCAGTCAGGCTGGCTGAAGCTCAGCTGACTGAAAGCCGGTTTCTGGGGTTTTGTTTAGCTTCTATATTTACAACATAGTACATAGTTGCTTAGAGTTGCAGCTGAGAGGCCAGCAGCAGCAGGCGGGGAACATTGGAGTCCGCCTCACTGGAGCAAGCAAGCCTCCCTGCTCGCTTCAGTGCATGGCTGCCGGCCGCCATCTTGGCTGACAGTTAATTTGCATAAGGATATGCTGATTATCCAATGGGAAGGGTAGCGGTCGTACGCTAATTACCATGTTTCTCTTTTATTAGTGTAGATTTTCCACCCTTTTCAAAGGTGGCTGCTTTCATAAATAGCGGATTTCATAGTAAGAGTTTAAGTTTTATAGAACTTGTACAGATTTGAACTACATATTTGTCAAGTGGGCTTTTGTGCATTGTCTTAGGATCCTAATAACTTGTTTATATTGCTATTTCTGTGAAGCAGTGTGTTCTAAATTTATAATAATAGCTATAATTCCCTGCGTGCTTTTGATATGCCAGTTACTAGACTAAAACCTTATAGGCATTTTTCTCATTTCATCTGTACAATAACCCTTCATAGTAAGTCTTTGCTTTCTCATGTAATCTTCATAATGACCCTATGAGATAGTCAATATTGTTATTATCCCTGTTTACAAGCAAGAAATAAGGCCCTAGCCAGTTTGGCTCAGTGGATAGAGAGTGTCGGCCCTGAGACTGAAGGGTCCTGGGTTAGATTCCAGTCAAGGGCATGTATCTCAGTTGCAGGCTAGATCCCTGGCCCTGGTTGGGGCTCCTGCGGGAGGCAGCCGATCTATGTGTCTGTCTCTCTTTCACATCGATGTTTCTCTCTGTCTCCCCCTCCCCTCCTTCCACTCTCTCTAAAAATCAATGGAAAAATATCCTCAGGTGAGGATTAAAGAAAAAAGAGCTGAGAGAAGTACATGAGGCCACAAACCAATAGGTAGCAAGACAGATTTGCACCTCGGTCTCTGTGACCCTCACACCCATGCTCTCAGCTATAAATGCTGTCTGCCTAACAGTTTGAAACGTGATTTCCTGGGGAATACTTAGGATATAGGGACTGCTTGTGTTAATTACTTCCATGGCTATTATCTTTATAAAATCTATTGCAGGGTATGCAAGGATAACTCATAAAATTTGTGTGAATTGATATGAAGGTTTTAAATTAAAGTATAAGGATTCAAGTTTTGCTTCTGTCAGGCAACTTTCCTGATTTTCTGTGTTCAAGGATTAACATTTTAAAAATATTAATCACAAATAAATATGCCAGAATGTGCACGGAGAATGTGTAATTGATCTAAAGCAAATGTATATAAATTCTTTTTTATAGTCTATTTTCATGAATTTAATGTTCATTAAATATGGATATTTGAGATAGTTCAGTATGTGCCCATATAGCTTCACAATATGTTTTCTATAATTCTGAAATCCAAAAACCAACATGATTTTGCCTCAGCTCAGGCTGCTGTAAGAAAGTACTGTACATGGACCAGGTGGCTGATAGACAACAGTTCTGGTGAGGCCCTCGTCCAGGTTGTAGACTGCCAACTTGGATCCCCACTTGGTGGAAGGAGTGCGAGCCAGCTCGCTGGCCTCTTTTTATCAGGGCACTGATACATTCATGTGGCTCTACCTTCATGACTTAATTACCTCCCAGAGGCCCCCCCTTCAAATACTATCACACCGGGGATTAGATTTCAACATAGGAAGTTGGGGGTAGAGGGGAATACAAGCATTGTCTATAACAATATTTATAGCCTTTATTTATCTCACACTATATGAAATATCATGCATTTTAATGTGGAAATATGAATATATTTGAATAAAGGGTGCTGCCCCAAGCAACACTGGTAGTGTGGTAGAGTTATATAACATATTGCATATGCATTGTATTGTATTTTTAAAATATGAAAAAATGAAAAATTATCAATTCTGGTATACATCTGGTTCCAGCTGTTTTGAATAAGAGATAAGAGATTATTATGTGTGTGTTTAAATATACATATATAAATAGACATATATATCCAAACTTATCTATTTAAATTTATAACATTATAATCAAAACAATCTTCATTTACTAAGAGCTGGTATTACATTCATAAAGCATTGGAAAAACTAAGCAATTCTAAACCAAATCAACATTCAAGGCAAATAACAAGGATATTTGTAAAGTCTGTTCAATTACATACTATTTTGTTTTCCTTACAGAGTAGCAAACATGACAAAATGTTTCCTCTCAGTTCAATGAAGTTTTATCTTGGAGTGAGAAAGAGAGTGAAACCTCCAACAAGGTAAAGCTTGAAAGGGAAGGGTGGCTGAAAAAGTTATGGGAATGTATGTCTGTTCAAGGAATTAGAATCAGAGGCATTGGTCTAACTTTATAAACTGCGCTTTAGACAAGTTTCTTAAGATGCCAGATCCAGAGAACGTGTATGGGTAGCTGAGGAGGGAGGCCGTTTCCCTAAAGGCAGCTCCTGGATGAGTGCATGTCCCCCTCGTAGAACAAGAAATCTCAGGAGCCCTGTCTGCTGGGAAACACCTGGGTTTGCCCTCATCCTACCCTTTGCTCAGTCAAAGCCGGGGAACACAAGGAATGTTCCAGGCAAGTCTGCCCACAGGAAGACAGACAGCTGCCCTCAGCCTGGCTCTCTAATTTGCCCTTTTTGCTTTGCTGAATTTGGTAGTAAATCCACAGCACATGGATGGACCCCTCTTAAACATTCTGTTCCTCTTTAACACTTGAATCAACCCAGCATCCGGTTTACACTGTGCTTACTTTCTTTTAATCCTCACCTGAGGATATGTTCAGTGATTTTAGGAAAGGGGACAGAGAGAGAGGAACATTGATGTGAGAGAGAAACATCAATCGGTTGCCTCCTGCACAAGCCCCTACCCAGGATCGAACCCGCAACCTACGTATGTGACGTGATTGGGAATTGTACTGCAGCCTTTTTTTT